GCTTGCAAGTACTAAATAAGCTACCATGGCTCCAAAGAAAGCTCCTAGTGCCAAGCCTGTGATAAAGAAGGTGAGAAATACGATTGAATTTAAGAAAACCATCATTGAACAGTATGAAAGTGGTACAAGTGTGGCCGAACTGTCCAGGATGTATAAGAAACCCTACACAACCTTATGTTCCATAGTGGCCAAGAAAAAGGAAATCAAGGATGCTGTTGTTGCAAAGGGGGTAACTATGCTGACAAATATGAGATCACCAGTGCTCGAAGAGGTTGAGAAGTTATTATTGGTGTGGATAATTGAGAAACAATTAGCAGGAGATACTCTTATGACCTTGATTATTTGTGAAACGGTTAGGCAGTTGCATGAAGATTTGGTAAAGAAATTGCCTGCAAATAGTGGTGATGTGGGTGAATTTAAGGCCAGCAAAGGTTGGTTTGAGAGATTTAAGAACCGTACTGGCATACACAGTGTGGTAAGGCATGGTGAGGCTGCCAGTTCGGACCACAAGGCAGCTGAAAAATATGTGCATGAATTCCAGGAGTACATAGAGGCTGAAGGACTGAAACCTGAACAAGTGTTCAATTGTGATGAAACAGGCCTCTTTTGGAAGAAAATGCCAAAGAGGACCTTCATTACACAAGAGGAAAAGGCAATGCCAGGACACAAGCCTATGAAAGACAGGCTGACGCTAATGTTCTGTGCTAATGCTAGTGGGGATTTCAAAGTGAAGCCATTACTAGTGGACCATTCTGAAAATCCCAGAGTGTTCAGGAAAAACAATGTTATGAAGAGTAAATTGTTTGTGTTTTGGAAATCTAATAGTAAGGCATGGGTCACGAGGGAAATTCTCGTTGAGTGCTTCAGTGAAGTGTTTGGCCCTAGTGTGAAGGAGTATCTCCTGGAAAAGAAATTGGATCTCAAGTGCCTGTTAGTAATGGACAATGCACCTGCTCATCCTCCAAACTTGGATAACCTAATTTTCGAGGAGTTTGGGTTCTTCACAGTAAAGTTCTTGCCCCCAAATACCACTCCTCTCCTCCAGCCCATGGACCAGCAGGTCATTGCAAACTTTAAAAAACTCTACACAAAAGCAGTGTTTCACAGATGCTTGACTGTGACCACAAACACTCACTTGACCCTAAGGGAATTTTGGAGAGAACACTTCAGCATCCTTCATTGCATAACCCTTATAGGTATGGCTTGGGAGGGAGTGACTACCAGGACTTTGAACTCTGCCTGGAGAAAATTGTGGCCAGATTGTGTCGACAAGAGGGATTTTGAAGGGTTTGGGACTGACCCTAATGAGCCTATGTCTGTTGTAAAATCAATTGTGGCACTGGGGAGTTCCATGGGGTTGGATGTGAGTTTGGAGGATGTGGAAGAATTGGTGGAAGACCACAACGAAGAGCTCACCACTGAGGAGCTGCAAGAGCTTCAGCAGGAAGAGCAACACATCGCAGCTCAGAATCTTGCTGCTGAGGAGGAGGAAGAGAGATGGAAGAAGGTGCCTTCTTCAGAAATTAAAGAGATTTTTACTATGTGGGGTAAGATGGAAAGCTTTATGGAGAAACATCACCCTAACAAGGTTGTTGCAAGCCATATTGGCAACATTTACAGTGACAAAGTCTTGGGCCATTTTAGGGAAGTGTTAAAGAGACGCCAGAAACAGAGCTCTCTCCACAGTTATTTTGCGAGACAGGACTCCATTGACTCTCAAGGTGGTCCTAGTGGCATTAAGAAACAGAGAAGACAAGCAACCCCAGAAAAGCAATTGGTACCTGAGGTGTTGCTGGAAGGGGATTCCCCTTCCAAACTATAAACAATCCACTCTCTCTCCTCTTCCAGTCTCCCATACACTAAGAAGAATCTCCAATGAAGGTAAGTGTTATGCTGTTAATGTTTCATTCATCATTTCCCATTGTATTGTTTATGTACTACATGTATATTTCATGTTAAAAATTTTTTTGTTTTAATACTTCTGGGTGTCAGGAACGGATTAATTGTATTTACATTATTTCTTATGGGGAAAATTGATTCGTAAATCGTAAATTTCGTTTATAGTAACGGCTCCAGGAACGGATTAATTACGAAAAACGAGGGACCACTGTATTTCTTAACTTCTTTACAACAGGGCTGGCACTAGAAGCTTTCTTTGGGCCCTTGGTGGCTTATTTAGCAGTTACAAGCACTAAAAATAATGGAATAATGCAAAATATATCGCATGTAAGCATGTAGTCGTCTTCACTGGCTTGTAAACAATGGCACACTGGCTGTACGTGGAGTGGCCGGGCAGCTCAGGCCACACGGACACGTTTGGAATGAATATCCTTAACCCTTTCAGGGTTTCGGCCGTACTAGTACTGCTTACGCACCAGGGTTTTTGACATACTAGTACGCCTAAATTCTAGTGCCCTCAAGTCTAGTGAGAGAAAGCTGGTAGCCCTACATATGAAAGAATGGGTCTATGTGGTCAGTGTGCGCAGTATAAAAAAAATCCTGCAGCATACAGTGCGTAATAAGAAAAAAAAAATTTGACTGTTTTTTGGATTAAAACAGCAAATTTGCACTGTATTTTCATATGGTATTTATTGTTGTATTGTAGTTTTCCTGGTCTCATTCTATAGAATGGAAGACATATTACAGAAATTGAGATGATTTTGACTGGTTTTACAATGAAAAGTACCTTGAAATTGAGCTCAAATTAGCAGAAATGTTTGATTTTTACCCAAGTTCAAAAGTAAACAAATCATGCTAAGCGTCCAATACACGTCAACTGGTGAGTCTAATATTCTTTCACAAGTACACCGATATTATTTATACCATTTTTTACACTAATGCAGTAGTCTGCATAACAGTAAATCTTCTATTTTTTGTGAGAATAAAAATTCAAAGTGGAAAGCAAAAGAATGTAAGAGGGGTGTTGGGACGTGACTAATGAACAGAGGAAAAGTCATTTTAGTGCCAGGAATGTCTTTATTGTTTATTCTGAACCCTATTTGGAAATTGGCATCTTTTGAAATTTGTGTGAAATTGGCAAAATTGCTAAATTCTGACCACTGTATTGGATGGTTGAAATTGGTAAATGGGTAGTTTCTTGCAATCGTTCGATAGAAAAAATGGAGTTCTAGCGAAATAGTCATGATTTTTGTCGACTAGTACAGTGGAATTAGCCGAAAATAGGGCTCAAAGTGGGCAAAATCGCTGATGCGTAAACATCGTCGAGACCGCTAACTTTGCAAGAGCTTAATTCTGTAAGTTTTCCACCAAATTTTATTCTTTTGGTGTCATTATGATCGGGAAAAGATTCTCTATCTTTTCATAAGAAAAAAAATAATTTTTTTTTTTTTTGAAGTTTGGACGACCCTGAGAACAAGTCTCTGAGAGGGCCTGTCGATCCTGAAAGGGTTAACTGAGTTTTTTATCAGTAACCAAGCCAATATTTTGATGCAAAAACATATCGCTATCCAATTTTATCGTTACCCGATGCCATCATTAACTGAGGGTCCACTGTATTTACAAGAAAATCTTAATGACATTCAATTGTTTAAGGGTGTAATACTTATCAAAACATGGAATGTAACAATTTTGGGTTATTCTGGGTTAAATCTAATTAGTGTATTTATGGCTTAAGTCTGCTGTTAGTATCATGAAATTGTAGTAAATTCGGATTTAATAAGGCATCTTCTGCCAGTTTTTCTACACCCTGTTTTCTGGTAGGGAAGCTGGTGGTGGAACAGCAGGTGCTGGTTTCATTGCTAGTTAGGTAATGTTAACCATGATGCACTGTGTGAACCTGCCTGGCTTTAGGGTTTTTCAAAGGCATGAAAAGATTGTAGAAGACACAAAGAGTTGCACAGAGGTCAAAAACATTGACAAATACAGTGGACCCCCGCTTAACGATCACCTCCAAATGCGACCAATTATGTAAGTGTATTTATGTAAGTGCGTTTGTACGTGTATGTTTGGGGGTCTGAAATGGACTAATCTACTTCACAATATTCCTTATGGGAAAAAATTCGGTCAGTACTGGCACCTGAACATACTACTGGAATGAAAAAAGTTCGTTAACCGGGGGTCCACTGTAGTGAATTTGAAGGCATGAAAAATTGTATGTACTAGTTTGTCAGACACATTGACATCACCTGCATACTCATACATCAGAATCAGTTAAAAGGTTAGATCTCAGAAAGCCAAAAAAGCATGTTTCAGAACATTTCAGTATCTTTTGTTTAGTCTACTATAGAAGAATAAAAGTTAAAATTCACAACTAACCCATAATTTAGAAAAGAACTTTAATAACAGTTTGGTCTATTTTAGACCAGTTATCAAGGCCAAGACACACAGTTGTGACTTTATTGGGCCAAGACAGACCTAAATATCTTATAAATTTTCCTCTTCTGTTTTTTTTTTTTTTAACAAGTCGGCCGTCTCCCACCGAGGGTGACCCAAAGAGAAAGAAAATCCCCAGAAAGAAAATACTTTCATCATCATTCAACACTTTCACCACACTCACACACAATCACTGTTTTTGCAGAGGTGCCCAGAATACAACAGTTTAGAAGTATATACATATAAAAATACACAATGTATATCTCTCCAAACTGCCAATCCTTTTCTGTTGTGAGTAGTTAACTATTTTAAATTTTAATAGTAATAAACTTATACGTGTAATACTAACATGTAATTTAAATTCCTGTCTTGTCTGTTCATGGTTATAAGCAATACAAATACAGGGAGAAATTACAGTTCTTTTGTACCTCTTTAAATATGAGATAGGAGAGATTGAGCCCTCTTTCCATTGGTACTGTAATGTAGTAGAAAGATAAGCATGACTCAACTGATAATTGAGTAAAGAATCACTTCTGATTAAGTTATGGGAAACACACAATTTTTATACTTGCATTAACTAACTTAATCACTGCCAGAAGTGGTAATGCTTTTTTTTCTGCCCAACATGACAGGGCATTGCTACTATTAGCTACTTATTTTCTTTATAGGTTTTCGACGTGGAGGTCCTAGTCGATATGTCCAAGAGCCTGCACGAACTGCACTACCTACTAATATGCTTAACCCAGCTCAGCCTCCTCAACCTGCTCCTTTCCTACCACCCCCTAGTGGAACAAATCCAGTTCATCTTAATCCATCAATGACTCCTCTGTCAGCACCAGCACCTCCACAGTTTTTTAATCCAGCAGCTACTTCTGCAACAAACTCAATGTATGGAGACCAACAACAGCAGCAGCAGGTCCATCAAACACCTGCACCTCCATCAACCAAAACTCCAGCAGCCTTTGATTCATCAGTGCCACGGGGCTGGAATGACCCTCCCCCTCCTTCGTCTTCCCGTAAGGTGAGTTTTGTGTATTTAAACAATATTAATAAATTTTCTTAAATACAGATACAGGTAAATACTGAAAGCTTTATCAGCTCTCACATCCTCAAATTATTATTATTATTATTATTATATATATGTAATTTTCTAGGTAGTAGGTTGGTAGACAGCAACCGCCCAGGGAGGTACTACCGTCCTGCCAAGTGAGTGTAAAACGGAAGCCTGTAATTGTTATGACGGTAGGATTGCTGGTGTCCATTTTTCTGTCTCATAAACATGCAAGGTTTCAGGTACGTCTTGCTACTTCTACTTACACTTTGGTCACACTACACATACATGTACAAGCATATATATATATATATATATACACACCCCTCTGGGTTTCTTCTAGTTTCTTTCTAGTTCTTGTTCTTATTTATTTCCTCTTATCTCCATGGGGAAGTGGAACAGAATTCTTCCTCTCTAAGCCATGCGTGTTGTAAGAGGCGACTAAAATGCCTGGAGCAAGGGGCTAGTAACCCCTTCTCCTGTATAAATTACTAAATTTAAAAAGAGAAACTTTCGTTTTTCTTTTTTGGGCCACCCTGCCTTGGTGGGATACGGCCGGTTTGTTGAAAGAAGAAAGAAATCTAAACCTTGTAGTTCATTATTTGATGGACATTAGCCATTAATGGGAGTCCTTTCATCCCCTCAGAAATACTGAAACAGAAGCTTCTTTTAATGGTTTACTATCAAGACAGAATTGTTGGTTTGCTTTGTCTGTGAATATTAAAATATAATAATCTTATTTCCCTGTGTATATTTTTAAATTTATCAGATTTGTGACTGGTTCAGTCTCATGGTGAAAAGATGTTAGAATCCTCCTTTCATTGTAATGTATATTCCTAAAATACATGTATTGTCAACATCAAGGTCTGATTACTCATTCTCTTATGAATTTAATACCCAGACATGCCAAGAAATAAACTATTTCTATTTTTAACTTTAAACACTTGCTTAGTTTCTGTAATTTTGCTCTTAACATTTGACATATGGAGATTTTCTAATCCTCAACTTGATTATTGTAGTTGGGTAATTTTTATATAGGAAAGCACTGGTTTGGTAATAGTTGTGGATGAGTGGAACAAACTCCCGAGTACCGTCATAGACGCTAAGACGTGTAGTTTTAAAAATAGGTTGGATAAATACATGAGTGGGTATGGGTGGGTGTGAGTTGGACCTGACTAGTTTGGGCTACCAGGCCTGGTGCCATGCTCCTTAAGTGAAAATGACCTGACTAGGTGGTCATTGTTTTAGGCTGGGGGGCTGGCATGGACCTGCTTTGCATGGGTCAGTAGGCCTGTTACAGTGTTCCTTCTTATGCTCTTATGAAAATTTGCTGATATAGCCTCTTCTCACTTAGTGACGTACTCATTTACCGATGACTTGGACTTATGATCAGCTCTGACCAGTATGCATACCTAAGTAACGTACAGTGGAACCTTGGTTTTCGTATTCCATAGTTTGTGTGTAAGACTATAGTTATTCTCTATAAAATGTATTTTTTGTTAATATTTTTGGGTGTCTGGAATGGATTAATTGGATTTACATTATTTCTTATGAGAAAATTAACAAAAATACATTTTATAGAGAATAACTATAGTCTTACATAGAGCTGATTTAATCTATTCTGTTTATTACAATATAAAGTACACTACTGTAAACATTTAAAAATATACTGAAAATGTAATAAATGATGCAAAGGTGACATTAAAACAATATTAGAGATACGTGACACAAACCCACTACCATTATAGTATACTCCTTGCTTAGCAACGAATTCGTTTACCAACGTGGTCTTAGGATCGGAACTCTTTCGTTAAGTGAGGATAGGGTGTATTTACTTTTTTAACACTTGATTTTTTCTTTTAATCATCCTGGATGGCTTCTTCATTTCATCTGATTTACTTTCACACACACAATCTTCAGACTTGAGAAGGGGGGGGGGGGGCTTCAGTGTAGTGAAGAAACTTGTAATTGTTAGAGAGAAAAAAAAAAATTAGGTCTAACACAATAGTGGTTACCTTAATGCCACAATCCTGCCAGTCAGAAACTAGTTTAAATTATCTTGGCCAAATATAAAAATCATGCTAAATACATTAGTAATTTACAATGAAAAAGATAAATCATGTAATTTCTGTACAACTTGTAACTAGCATATTATGTATTTTTAATTGATTTCAATCTAACTTTCCTCACACATTGTTTAAAGGTGTTTGTGTCTTCATAAACAATAACTGGACTTCCTTGAATATCCAAAGTATGTGGATCAGAGATTGGACATGCTTGAACAAAGAAATTAAAAAAAAATTCAAATAATGGTCAATATGTCTATATTCATAATAGACCCAAAATATCTTTTGAGTATTAAGCTTGAAAACTTTAGATTAAAAATGCAGTTATTACTGAAGTGGTGTAAGTAGTTTCTATATATTTGATTTGTAATTGTCATTATAATGCAATGTATAACTTATCATTTCTTCCCTTAAGCCTAAATTTGGCTTTCATAGTAAGTCAGTCATTAATAGCCATAACATTTTATGGAATGGTAGCAGTGTGCTGGAGAACCTAAGTTCCATGGAGGTCACTCTGGAGACAAGAAGTTACTGATGCTGAAGCAGGTTTGTGGAAGTTGGTTAGCATGAAGCATGATAAGCTTCTAGTCATGCTAACTACTGTACCACCAAAGAATTGCTCCCAAGACCATTACACCCTTTGAAGTACTTGGTACACTAATAATCTTGTTTTTGTTTCAGATCTACATTTAATGGTTAACAAACATCCATACTAAGCTTTGCTTTGCATTTTTTATGCTCATTACTATCTTAGCAAGCTCTTCTATTTAATATATTCTCCAAAATGTCCATACATTTGACAGCTTCATAGACATCAGCTTGGTGTACAGGCATCTTCTAGTTTTATTTAAAAGATAAATGTGACATCATCCCTATAACCAGCAGCCAGTATGTCTATATATTAAATGGCAGATCAAGTAGTTTTATTTATACAATATACCAAGTGAAAGGAGGATATTTTGCATGAAATGGAAGGCTTATAACTTTTACATTTTTAATGCTAGGTTTGCTTTAAACATTGACCTCGTTTGCAGTTGTACATAAAATTACATGCTCTCAAGTAAAGACATTACAGTTTTTATTGCATAGTTGAATTCATGCTCCTTTTATATGGTTCTAAAAGTTTTAATTGTTTTATTATATAAAAGTAACTACCGTTAGTTTTTCTATGTATGGTTTGCTACATGTTTATGCCGACTACATGTTCAAAAATGATGCACAAGCTTCCATTAGCGATACTAACAGGAAGTCCTTTGGAAGAAGTCCTCAGAAAGAAGTGGATGACCCTTGATATGAGAAAAGGAAAGGTAGTGCAGCTTTCTCAGAGGTTGAAGAAAACATACAAACATTTTCCATCTTGGGCTTCATCAGTTGATGAGTTAACCATTGCAAGGTTGACTGTAGAAGGCTGATTCAGAGAGCCATAAAACTACCTTGTATTTCAGGGATAAAGGAAGCAAAGACTCACTCACTTGAGAAGAAAACCTGTTTGTTAAATTAAGATGAATTGCAAGGCTCTGATATATTAATGTGGAGAAGTGTAACCTATCAGATGGTCATTGAGATTCATACAGATGAAATGCTCTGTCTTTGTAGTCGAATGTTTGGAAAGATTTCTCGTGAATATATGTAGTACCATCTTAAAGAAAAGGCATTGCTTAAAATTGTTAGTCAGAAAACTTTCAGTGGAAGGTGAAATAGTTTTGGAACTAGGGTTTGTTGAGTTACAAAAAAAAAATATCTTTAAATTGTTCAGTGGGATGAATGTGTTTTATGATGGATCCACCATGAAATATTGAGAGCTGTTTTGTTTGTTAACATGAAAATTTGAGAATATTGTATTGTCCATTATGAATGAGATGAATAACCATTTTTGCTGGAGTAACTTGAATCACTGAATGAGAATTATGAAAGATTTTTGGTGGAGGGAAGCTTACAGTGGTGGGGTAAAGAGAGAGTTAAAATTTAAATACTGTATGAGGTCTAACTAATCAATAATAGTTAGTGCTGCCTACTAGACCTGTCTAAAATAGTATGAATAAAGCCAACTCCACCCTTTACAGTCTATAATTGATTTTAAAAGCATCCATACTTGCAGTAAAAAAAACATGAATAGTTTAGGTATATAGTAAATTCCCTCTTTCCAGTTCATCATGATAGACATTGAGAGGAGGCCCTGAACTAGAGAGTATCTGTCTGGAGTTGAGAGTTGCACGTACAGGTTGTTCTTGACATAGTTAGCTAGGAATGAGAGGCAGCCCTGGAGAGAGCCTCTGTATGCACTAAAAAGTTGTCTGCCCATTATTCATAAACATGCAAATTGCTTTCCCCAGAATTAATCTAACATTGGACTGTCCTGAGACATCAGCCTATAATACAGTACTGGCATTTTGCAAATTAATTCGTTGTTGACAGAAGTTCTAAAGGGAAAGTAGATAAACCCATATGGACAACTATGGTAGTTGGCTCAAATGGAGGAATTCAGAATAAATTTGGTAACTGTTACTGTCCATGATCCAGCAGACGTGTCAGATAAGACTTAAGACTTTTTCTTTTTGCTCTTAAAAATGTCAAATGCTTGAACTTTGGGTTCCTCATAAGTTTGATGGAAGGTAGTAGATTACAGAAGGTGACAGATGATAAATTAGAAGCAAAAGTAGTTTTTTAAATCACATTGTTAAATAAAAGGTGTACTCTATATCTTTGATTCAGGTTAATGGCAGAGTGGAAAGCAACATCTGTTGAAGATATGGAAAGCAGTAAGAAATTTTGAAACTGGCCAGGAATGACTCATGAAATTATAATTACACAATTGCAAACAAATTTTACCATGGGCGGAGATTGAACTCGTGGCAAGTGAGTTGTAAAACTCCAGGCCAGCGTGTAAGCCATGGGACCAGCTGGTTACAATAAGATTCATCCAACTAGGTATATTTGTACACCATAGAGAGGTTAGCACAGGCCCCACTGGACAACAAATACAAGTTTTTACAGATGAATCTCCTGCCAGCATGGCCGTGACAAACTCTAGCTCTAGTCCCTTCAAAGCCATCATCATGACTCACAAAATCGTAACAACACAATTGCAAACAAACCATACCATGGGCGAGGATTGAACTTGTGGCGAGTTTTACAACACACTCGCCATGAGTTCAATCCCCGCCCATGGCGTGGTTTGTTTGGACAGGAATCAAATTGATAAGTAGACAGCATAGTCCTGCTTTAACTGCATTCAGTCACAAGTCAAGAGGTGCCGGACGTAACCTTGAGCATCATAGAAAAATATGTACTAATAAATGAAGCGACTTGATCCATCATTCACTTTATCACTGTCTTGCAAGAGACATGCCAGTACTACAGTTCAGATGCCCCCCTAAACTGCAGATATCCCCACTCCTCTAGATATAAATTATAATTAAAACTTGTTGAAAGTTGTTTCATGGAAAGCATTGTTTCTGTTAGGAAATTGATGTTTACATAATAAGGTTGTTTAAAATGAAATACTGTATAGTACACATTTTATGTGGCAGTAACATACAGTATGCTGAATGATGAGAGACTTGAATGTTAGGTTGTATAGCTTTATCTATAATCAGCCTATCCTCGTGATCAGAACTTAATTTTTCCAATACATTACAGCATGACAACAGTCTCTTGCTTATCTTGCTGCTCTTGCATCTAACTATCCTATTTAGGTAAGTTACATTACTTCAGGTTAATTTATTTCAGGACAGGTGAATTAACCCATTAAAACTGAACATGACCCAAAAATTAACAAAACAGGTATACAAGGAGAATTTTTACTGTGGATGTGGCAGCCTAGTAAATACAAATGGTTGTCTGTCATAAGCAAATATATTGGAAACAAAATTGAGGATGGGCTGCTATAGTACAAGGCTTTGTGATCCTGCATGACTGAACTTGCATAATGCTCAGGTAGTGTTCTTTGACAAATTTTAAGTTTATTGTACAGTGTTTATATTCTTCTGGCAGGCTATTCATATGTGTGGATTTTTAATTTGCATGGAGTTTCTATTAAATTTGTCATACATGTGGGGTATTAGAAAGGTGTTTGTGTTATGGCTGTGTATTTTATTGCAGCTCTCCAAGAAGAGTTTAAAGTCTGGTAGTACAGTACAACATATTCGTTAGGGTCTCATAGATTGCACAGTAGTATGTATGAATGAATGGTCTGTATACCTAGTTGGATAAGGGGTAGAGTGCACTGTTTCCTCTAACCTGAGTGCCTGCACAACTGTCAGTCTAATGATGTGTACTAAGTATTCAGGCTGTGAACATTCTCAGTGATGGCATCCCAAGTCAGTTTGGTAACTTATGAAAGTTAAGACACATGTGCAACATCTGGATATCTTTATTGTAGATGTTTTGCCATCCAGTGGCTTTATCAATACAGATTCTAGGACATAATTAGAAGACAGTAGAACTATATACAAAAGATGAGGTAATCAGCCCCTCAGCCTTGGAGTTAGCATTCACAGCATCGTGGTGGTGGAGAATCTAGAGCAAAGGCAAGGAGACTGGCGGTTATATAGGCATCAGTGGATAGGGACGTGTAGCGGACGAGGGCATAGTCACTGGTAGGCGGGATTCCCCAATGGAAGTAGGCCCTACCCAAAGTGATGGGTTAGTTGTAGTAGCCGTGAAGAAGGTCTGTGAACACTAACTCCAAGGCTGAGGGACTGATTACCTCATCTTTTGTGTATAGTTCTACTGTCTTCTAATTATGTCCTAGAATCTGTATTGATAAAGCCACTGGATGGCAAAACATCTACAATAGATATCCAGATGTTGCACATGTGTCTTAACTTTCATATTGTTGGTATTTTATACCTTTCTTGCACAATTTGTCAGACACTGCAAGATCACGGAATCTTGGTTCAGAGGACATCTACAAGACCTTCTTCATGGCTACTACAACTAACCCATCCCTTTGGGTAGGACCTACTTCCACTGGGGAATCCTGCCTACCAGTGACTATGCCCTCGTCTGCTACACATCCCTATCCACTGATGCCTATATAACCGCCAGTCTTCTTGCCTTTGCTCCAGATTCTCCACCACGATCCTGTGTACACTAACTCCAAGGCTGAGGGACTGATTACCTCATCTTTTGTATATAGTTCTACTGTCTTCTAATAATTATGTCCTAGAATCTGTATTGATAAAATCACTGGATGGCAAAACGTCTACAATAAAGATATCCACATGTTGCACATGTCTTAACTTTCATATTATTGGTATTTTATACCATTCTTGCACAAATTGGTAACTTTTATTTTTTTGGTAGGTGAATTTCTTTTTTTGCACATTCATTTTGCTTTCACCTGTATGGGCTATGGTAAGGATAAAATCTACATAATTGCTACATAGATGTTTTTACTTGTAGCATGAATCCGCACATTGTTGCCATTCTTGGGGGGCACAATAATTTTTCATTCCGCACAATTGTGGAAAAAATTAAAGGAAACATTCTTAGGGTGTATGTTTAATACTAGTGTGAAATGTTCTTATGGAAGCCTTTTATGGTGTTGTGATTTTTCTTATTGTTTGATGTTGATTGCTACAAAATAGCCTTATGGCATGAGATCATATCTGACCTTGTAATTATAAATGGTTAACCTTGGGGGCAACAATGAATGCTGCTCCTGTAGTAACTATGAACACTGCACCTGTTCTTTAAGTACAGTATTTGTTTACTACTGGCTCTCCAACACTTGTCTGCCTGGCCTCCAGCATTACAGGGAGAATGTGAACACATGGTTTCTTTAAATGAGTAATAATGCCTTGAGCTGCCTGTAAGGTAAATGAGCAAAAGGATGAGCAAAACAAGCTTGTAAATAACTTCTTATTTTAATCTATCTTTGAATATTGGCAGTTTGTTTTTTAGGTGAAGCTATAACCTCCATGGATAGATGGCCAATATTTAGCCGGGTAGATTAAGGGACGTTGCACAAACTCAGATTGAAATAATGCAACATGATACACTATATGTATTACATTCTAGACATATTTTGATGGCTGGAATGAGATCAGATGGAAATAGTGTGCAAAAGATATTGAAAGTGTTACAAATCACTATATCTTTACTGTATAACATTCATAATTACAGTAGCACAATTTTTTATGAAAAATATACATGCATAATGTTCATGTAAATGCATTGTATATAAACTTTTTAATAAATTTAAATTTATTTTAGATTTCTTTTGTAGGCTAAACTACTGCAGCAACAACAGCAGCAGCATGAAACTCCAAAAGCACCTGAGCCAATAATGTGTCCTGTACCAGGTGCTATTGCTCCTGACCTACCACAGCAATTTATGGTGAGATAAAAGTGGCTTGACAGTTTCATTGTGTTTTTTTGTGCTCCCAGCATGAATGGATTTAAACTTTACAAAGAGAAGCATTCCTCTTTTTAATGTAATTTTTTGTATGTCATTGTACAATGCATTTCTTGTGAGTTGTCCCCTGTTTAATGGCTAACTTGTTCTGGAGATGTTAAATCACTCTTATCACCATGTACAGCCATCACTACAAATTTGCAGACTTCCTTATTTGTGGGGTTTCTATTATTCATGTTTATTGATAAGTAAATCATAAATAGCTGGGATTGTATAACAGTGTTCTTGCTTAATGGCTTTCCCATTTCCAAGTTTTTTTCTGTTCATTATGTCTTATGAATGTTAAGCATATTAGTGCAGTACATTTGAGAGATGGTCCCTGAAGTACAAAATGAACCCAAATCAGATACAAAATTTATTAAGCAGACTTGATTTTTCATTTGCAGTTTTCAGTTTCTTGGAACCTCTAGGAAAGTAGGGATGATTATAAGAAGTTTTATACCCATTCAGATCCCTCTAGAGGTATGTTCTCATGTCTATTTTATAGAGATTGTTTCATGTATCTTTTCAACCTAGTAATTTCATGGTGCCATGGTTCGTGTCAGTCAGTCCTTCCTATTCTTCCTTTCCTTGCTAATAATATAGGCATGCATTTCCCATCTCTGCCTCTTCCATTCCTGTAATGCTCTCCATGTGTGTCTCATTATTTTGAGTATGATCATTTTTTTTTTAACAGAAAGCTGCTCTAGTATTGATCCTGATTTTAAGACAAATTACAGTTTAATGAGAGGATTATCCTTTACTTAGAATTCAGACATGCAACATACAGCAAAATTCAGTGTCACTTTAAGTATAGACTTACACAGTACTCAGAATAATACATGTAATAATCTAACCATAGTATTACGTATCTCCCATGTATGCGTATGTCTTTGAGGCACTTTTTTTTTTAACACATCAGTTGTTTCCCACTGAGGCAGCGTGACCCAAAAAAGAAGAAACACTTTTAGCATCAGTCACTCCATTACCATCATGCCAACATATCTCCACTTTTAGTTGAGAGTGCAGGCACTGTACTTCCAACCTCCAGGACTCGAGTCCAGCTAACCAGCTTCCCAGAATCCCTTAATAAATGTTATATTGCTGTCACTCCAACAGCACGTCACTTTATAAAAACCATTTACCTCCACTTGCTCCTATCTAACACACTCGCTGGAAGTCCAAGCCCCTTGCACACACAACCTCTTCTACCTCTCCCTTCAACCTTTCCTAGGATGACCCCTACTCCACCTTCATTCCATATACACCCTCCAAGTCATTCTATTTTGTTACATCCTCTCTAAATGTCCGAACCACCACAACCCCCCCTCTCCCCTTCAGCCCTCTGGTTAATACTTTTAGTAACCCCACACCACCACCTGATCTCCAAATTATGGACTCTGTGTAATATTCACACCACACATTGCCCCCTAGACATGATATCTCCACTGCCTCCAGCCTTCTCTTCCGCGCAACATTCACCACCCTTGCTTAACACCCATATGAGAACACTTGTACCACTATACTCTCACATATTTGTCTCTTTGCTTCCATGTATAATGATGTTTGTCTCCAAAGACTCCTTAGTGCACCACTCACCTTTTTCCCCTTGTCAGTTTTGTTTGAAGTTTAAACTCCCCAACCAACACGATCATCTCCACGTCTCACACCAAGACTGAACATGGTGTCGTCATATGCTTATTTCTATGTTTTCTGTATATGCCATGTACTTATAGCACTTTTTTCCAGCACTTTTCACCTTCCCACATTATGGGATTGCTTTATTACAAAAAATGTTAGAATTTGTGTAAACATATCTAATACTTGAGATAATAAGTGTATGCTCTGTTACAGGGATTTCAGCACCCACAGTATGGAGCTGAAACACATGCAGCAGGTGCTGGGCCAGCTGTACCTGTGGCTGCTGCTGCTACCCCTGAACCAGCTAGCAAGGGGCCATTACCACTTGAGCACCAAGTTATTCAAGATGTGATTAATGAAGTCCAGAGCCGTTGTTTGCATGTTGTTCAAAACCAGGTTAGGTTTTTTATTTAGGTAGTCTTGAAATGCCCTTAATACTACAGTTTATTTATATATATTATATATATATATATATATAATTTTATATATAAAATTTTAAAAATTATATATATATATATATATATATATTTATATATAAAATATATAAAATTTATATATATATATATATATATATATATATATATATATATATATATATAATATATAATATATATATATATATTTATATTTAAATTTATATTTATATTTATATTTTTGTTTGACCTATTTGTGGTCCTGGAAGTTTTATGTTATGATTTCAAGTATTTTCTTTTTGCATAATTTTCCCACATCTGTTGTTGAACCACTCATTTTCGTTATATTTAATAAATTTTGTGCCACTTGAGTATATTAAGGAAATTCATGTTTAATATGATTTTACCTTATAATTCTTCTTATTTATTTTCTTGAAAATGTTGCTTTAGTTTATTATACCTTTCTCTTATATAGTTCATTATTTTAATTGTTACATTTTTACCTTATCCAGGTCATAATTTTCTGCAGCATACAAAAAATACTCAGGGGAATTAATAAGGTAGACAGGGATGGGATGTTTAAGAGACAAGAAACGGGAACTCTAAGACCCCACTGGAAGTTAGTCATAGATGAGCCACAAGGATGTTAGGAAGTATGTATTTCTTTTGTCTCAGAGTGGTCAGGAAGTGGAATGATCTAGTTGAAGTGGTGGAGGCAGGGTCCATACATAGTTTAGAGAGCAGGTATGAGCATATGAAGCTGAGGAGTGAGTCTGTAAAGGTGCAAATTGAGAGGCACTTACAGATGAGTATGTACACACACACACACACACACACACACACACACACACACACACACACACACACACACACACACACACACACACACACACACACACGAACACGCACACACTTGAACACGGACACACCATGCGTGTGCATGCCACACATGCACATACATCTTCAGTAAGAATCTTTGATAAACTTTTGTGAGTTATCATTAAAATATTATTCTTTCTACAGCAAATGAAACAACGCCTTGAGGATATCAGTGGAAAAATGGAAGTGTTATATGATAAACTTAGGACTGGGCAGGTAAGATGATTACTAATATCTTTGTCCTTTTTATCCCCCCCCCCCCACACACAAACCTTTCCAGTCTCAAAGTGGATAGCATAAACATATAAACACTACAGGTCTTCAGAGCTGGAGATTGGTGTATTGGTGAATTAGAGAAATCAGGTCTTCCAATAATTTAGCCTTGGGTATGTTTAATGTAGGAATGAGTTGGTACCAGAAATGAAATACAGTAGTAGATTTGTAAGTAAATAGAACTATTATGAAGTATGACAGGGGGAACCCATTGATACTTATTCAAATAGCATTTGTAAAGTGGGTAATTTTTACTCTAAAACAAACTTATTAAGATTTAACTTGTCAGACGACTAAATGAAGATAGGAATTTTGAAATTTGGTTGTTAGTATATGCATGAATTTAGTACAGTAGAGATATTAAGAAAAGAAAGCTTTTGGAGGATAAAAAGGGGCTGTACCAGAGAATGGTGGTACCAACACTTTTTTATGCTTGTGAGACATG